AAAAGTGTCACAAAATGACGGGCTGCACAGGCGAGAGCCGTGAGCTCCGGGCTGGCGGCGCCCGCGCACCCATCCCACGCACGCGCGTGTGCACCCCGGCACGCGTGCTGCTTGCCCTGCGCTCTGCACAGGCGCAGGGACAGGCAGACAGCACGGACAGACAGCGCGGCCTCGCAGACACTGAGGGTTTTGGTTTTCAAGGGACCTAAATTTGGATCTGTGTTCAAGCACCTAAAAACGCAGTCTGCTTTTGCTGCGCTGCTTTGCGCTCCGAGTCCCAGTGCGAATCAGACCGTAGGGGGGCTTCAGGGCAGATTTCAGGGGCCTGTTTGGGTGGGAGCCAGGAGGCCCCATGCAGCCAGGTGCCCCTACGCAGGGCTGCTGCGGTGGGTCTCAGAGCAGCCCAGCCCCAGGGCTGGGGCGGAGGACAGGGACCTGCAGAGTGGGGGAACGGGGTCACGCGGGGCCCAGGTCCCCTCCGCCAACACGGCGGGCCCCACGCAGGAGGGGATGTCAGGCAGCCCCACTCTCCTACTGCCTGCGCGTGCCCCCTCCCGCCTGCGCGCACACACAAGCTCCCTTGCACATGCATGCACACACACACACACACACTTAATTGCACACTCCTCCCTGCACTCCTCTCCCCCTTGCTCACACCCCTCTCTCCCCCTGGCTCCTCAACGTCCCCACTCGCACCCTCTCACACCACCCAATGCCACCTTCCCCCCCTGCACACACCCTTCACACCCTCCCTGCACACCCCTCACATGCTCCTCCAAACGCACCCCTCCACAACCATCACCTGCCCCACACCCACCACCCGCGCACACCCTTTACCACTCACACTCTTCACACCCCCTCCTCACACCCCCCCCCCCTCACAATTCCCACCTCGCACAAGCCTGTCAGGTGCTACTCGCCCCCACATACCACACATACCCACACATGCACCTGCACACTCGCACACACCTGTACAGGCACCTACATACTAGCACATCTGTACATGTACCAACACACTGGTGCACATCCACACACCTGTACATGCACCGGCACACTCATGCACACGAACCCGCAGCCACACACCCGCATACACCCGCACAGCCGTGCACCTGCACACACACCCATACACCCCTGCACATGCACACCCACACACCCCCGTACACCCGCACACACACACCTGCACACCCCCGCACGCACACCCGCACACCCCTCTGTACACCCGTGCACACGCACACCTGCACACCCCCCATACACCCGTGCACATGCACACCTGCACACCCCTCTGTACACCCGTGCACATGCACACCTGCACACCCCTCCGTACACCTGTGCACATGCACACCTGCACACCCCTGTACAGCCGGGCACACACACCCACACACACCCCCAAACACCCATGCACACGCACACATGCACACCCCTGTACAGCCGGGCACACACACCCACACACACCCCCAAACACCCATGCACACGCACACATGCACACCCCTGTACAGCCGGGCACACACACCCACACACACCCCCAAACACCCATGCACACGCACACATGCACACCCCTGTACAGCCGGGCACACACACCCACACACACCCCCAAACACCCATGCACACGCACACATGCACACCCCTGTACAGCCGGGCACACACACCTGCACACTCCCCCGTACACCCATGCACACGCACACCTGCACACCCCTGTACAGCCGTGCACACACACCCGCACACCCTCCCGTACACCCATGCACACGCACACCTGCACACCCCTGTACAGCCGTGCACACACACCCGCACACCCTCCCGTACACCCATGCACACGCACACCTGCACACCCCTGTACAGCCGTGCACACACACCCGCACACCCTCCCGTACACCCATGCACACGCACACCTGCACACCCCTGTACAGGCGTGCACACACACCTGCACACCCCCCATACACCCGTGCACATGCACACCTGCACACCCCTCTACAGCCGGGCACACACACCCACACACACCCCCAAACACCCATGCACACGCACACATGCACACCCCTGTACAGCCGGGCACACACACCTGCACACTCCCCCGTACACCCATGCACACGCACACCTGCACACCCCTGTACAGCCGTGCACACACACCCGCACACCCTCCCGTACACCCATGCACACGCACACCTGCACACCCCTGTACAGCCGTGCACACACACCCGCACACCCTCCCGTACACCCATGCACACGCACACCTGCACACCCCTGTACAGCCGTGCACACACACCCGCACACCCTCCCGTACACCCATGCACACGCACACCTGCACACCCCTGTACAGGCGTGCACACACACCTGCACACCCCCCATACACCCGTGCACATGCACACCTGCACACCCCTCTACAGCCGGGCACACACACCCACACACACCCCCAAACACCCATGCACACGCACACATGCACACCCCTGTACAGCCGGGCACACACACCTGCACACTCCCCCGTACACCCATGCACACGCACACCTGCACACCCCTGTACAGCCGTGCACACACACCCGCACACCCTCCCGTACACCCATGCACACGCACACCTGCACACCCCTGTACAGCCGTGCACACACACCCGCACACCCTCCCGTACACCCATGCACACGCACACCTGCACACCCCTGTACAGCCGTGCACACACACCCGCACACCCTCCCGTACACCCATGCACACGCACACCTGCACACCCCTGTACAGGCGTGCACACACACCTGCACACCCCCCATACACCCGTGCACATGCACACCTGCACACCCCTCTACAGCCGGGCACACACACCCACACACACCCCCAAACACCCATGCACACGCACACATGCACACCCCTGTACAGCCGGGCACACACACCTGCACACTCCCCCGTACACCCATGCACACGCACACCTGCACACCCCTGTACAGCCGTGCACACACACCCGCACACCCTCCCGTACACCCATGCACACGCACACCTGCACACCCCTGTACAGCCGTGCACACACACCCGCACACCCTCCCGTACACCCATGCACACGCACACCTGCACACCCCTGTACAGCCGTGCACACACACCCGCACACCCTCCCGTACACCCATGCACACGCACACCTGCACACCCCTGTACAGGCGTGCACACACACCTGCACACCCCCCATACACCCGTGCACATGCACACCTGCACACCCCTCTACAGCCGGGCACACACACCCACACACACCCCCAAACACCCATGCACACGCACACATGCACACCCCTGTACAGCCGGGCACACACACCTGCACACTCCCCCGTACACCCATGCACACGCACACCTGCACACCCCTGTACAGCCGTGCACACACACCCGCACACCCTCCCGTACACCCATGCACACGCACACCTGCACACCCCTGTACAGCCGTGCACACACACCCGCACACCCTCCCGTACACCCATGCACACGCACACCTGCACACCCCTGTACAGCCGTGCACACACACCCGCACACCCTCCCGTACACCCATGCACACGCACACCTGCACACCCCTGTACAGGCGTGCACACACACCTGCACACCCCCCATACACCCGTGCACATGCACACCTGCACACCCCTCTACAGCCGGGCACACACACCCACACACACCCCCAAACACCCATGCACACGCACACATGCACACCCCTGTACAGCCGGGCACACACACCTGCACACTCCCCCGTACACCCATGCACACGCACACCTGCACACCCCTGTACAGCCGTGCACACACACCCGCACACCCTCCCGTACACCCATGCACACGCACAGGTGCTCGGATGCCTCCGCTGGAGTTCACAAATTCCACCCAGAAACGTTTCAAAAGTCCCCGCAGCTCCGTCAGGTTTAAAGGGGTTGAACGTGGCGGACGGGTCTGGAAAGGAAACAAACAAGTGAACGACAGAACACGCGTGGCCCCGCTCACGGTAGCTGCCTGACCCGTTTGCTCAGGTTCCTGGATGAAAGGTGCTGGCAGAGCTGGGCTGCGAGGCGCCTGCCCCGGCTGCGGGTTTGGTTAAGGAGAGGGGAATAAAAGCCATTTCCATGGGGCGTCCCACGGCGCAGCGCCG